TCCCTCTGTGGCGTCAGGAGCAGGACGACCCGGGAACCCGTGAGGTTGAGCACGGCCTTGACAGCGACCCTGGGAGCAGGGCGGGTGAGTCGATCTCCCAAACACGTGGTTGCTTCAGCCCGACCTGGCCCAGCTCCGCCTGTGCCCGGGCTCCCCTCGCTCCTCGCTGCATCTGCCCCCTCCTGCAGGAGTTCTGTGAAACCCAGCGGTGTCCGCCACACAGCACCTGCCCTGCAGGGAGCAGCTGGGGCTCCCGCAGCTCCGGGAGCCAGATCGGCCTTGGTGAGGGGTCAGACCCTGGGCCGTGTCCACTATTGCTCTGGCCACTGTGTACATGCGACGGCCGGGCAAGCTTTGGGCTGGTTTGGGAGGAGGCTGACACGTCCACAGAATATCGAGTGATAGCTGATCCTCGCCAGCCCTCCCTTCAGCAGGCGCCCTCTAGTGACCACATCCAGGAGATGGGGGTCCTCAGTCTGCACCCTCTCCCGCTTCCTTGTGACCCATCTTCCAACCTGGTCAGTCCCAGTCCCTGCCTAAGCAGCCAAGCCCCAAGCCACTGCCTCGAGTCACCGCAGAAGGCACCATGGCCACAACGCCTCCTCCTGAACCACGCAAGTGTGCAGGTGGCCTGGAGTTCTCCTCCCGTGGGGGATTCCCTGCCAGCACCCACCCATCTACGGTGCAGGCTCTGCTCACGAGGCCCCGGCTTGATCTCCTTCCCCTCAGCTCGTCTTGGGAGCTGTTCCGTTGGGCGCGGGAGCAGCTTCGAGGTCTGAGTGGCTTGTGCGTGCACTTACCAGTGTCTCTTGGAACTTTCGCAGGCTGGTCTCCCGCCGACCACTTGCATGAGATGGGGGGATGGCGTTGCACAGGGGAGCTGCAGGCGAGCCCAGCAGGGGGTCTCCAGCTCCCAGGGACAGGTCAAGTCTTGTAGTCATCTGATTGTCAAGAGCCAAGCATCAGGGCTGGCGCCATGGCACACTAGGTTAATCCTCCGTCTGCGGCGCTGGCATGCCATATGGGCGCCTGTTCTAGTCCTGGTTGCTCCTCTTCAAGTCCAGCTCTCTGCTGTGACCTGGGATAGTGGTGGAGGATGGCCCAGGTACTTGGGCCTCTGCACCCGTGTGGGAGACCGGGAGGTGGCACCTGGCTCCTGGCTTCAGCTCAGGGCAGCTCCAGCCATTGCAGCCATTTGGGGAGTGAACCAACGGAGAGAAGACCTTTCTGTCTCTCTCTCTCTCACAGTCTATAACTCTACATGTCAAATAAATAAATAAATAAATCTTTTTAAAAAAAGTCAAGCACCTGGGCCCACATCGCAGAATCAGAACAGTGGTCGAGAGACAAGAGCTGTAACCCTAGGGTGAACTGGGGGTTCTCCCACGGCAGCTCGACGTTCTGATAACAGGAACGACTACGAAAGGCGTCAAAAGACTAAGAAAGAGCAGTCCCTGAGCAGAAGTCCACCCTGGGTCTGGAGAGACAAAGCAAGAAGCATTCCCAGAGGCCGGAATCTGGGCCCAGCTGGGGGAAAGTGAGACCCCCCCAGTCTGTGTGGGGCTGCAGTGTGATGTCACCTAGTAGGTCCTCGGCCACAGGGAGACGCAGCCCTACCTCAAGCCTGGGGTGGCGCTGGAAGGGACGGACAGGAAGAAGCTAGTCGTCTCCACTCCTCCCAGCCACGTTGAACCTAGACAGGTGCCGGTGGCCAGGTGACCTGCAAAGTGCAGGCAGACATGGGCGCGTGTGTCAGTAACCAAGATGGCGAATGACAGGCACACGGCTTCAGTGTCGTTTCCCAAACTCAGGACTGTGGCTGGGACGTGAGAGAATAAGGATCCATTCGTCCTGTTCGGGTTCCACTGTGGACCCAAAGACAAGCAACAGGTGGACAGCGGAGAGCTGACCCTGGGAGGATGCACCTGCCGCTGGCAGCTGAACACAGCAGAGGGCTCCGGGGACGAGTCTCGTCTCTCGGCACGGGGTCCTGTCTCATGGCGCTGGGTCCCGTCTCTCGGCACTGAGTCCTGTGGCCCACGGGCTTGGTTCCTGTGGGTGGGGGAGCTTCTCGAAGAGCCGTGGAGGGAGAGCAGAGGCAGCCACCTCCGACACAAGCACGCGTGTCTGCCATTCCCCTCCCCGGGGGACCCGTTCCTAGCTCGGGGCTCCAGCAGGCGTTTCCGGAGCCCGTGTCCCACGGGAGACTTCTCTATTGTTCTGTGAAGGCCTGCAAGGCCGGACTTAGAATTCCCTCTCTTCAGATGCTGGAACAAGCAGCTTACAAGAGAATGCACGCAAAACGGTGTTGCCGTGTTCCCTGGGTGATGCTAACGGAGCTGGTAAGAGCAAGAGGACAAGTAGGACTCGTATCCAAGCAAGCAACCCCTCTGCACACCCGGGAGCCCAGCCCCCTGCCCCAGGAGCTTCATCCAGCGTGAGTTTAAAGCTGCAGTGAGCGTACACTGCCCGCCACACAGGACTCTCACTTCTCGGCTCCGGTCGCGGCTGCTGGGTGTCCCTCCCAAAACCAGTCCCCCACTTCCACACCTGGGCACGTGACTTCCTCGTAGTGTGGAGCAGCCGTGGGAGTCCCTTCTGCCCAGGGACATGCGGGGGGTGGGGGGGATCACGTGGCAACTGCTGAGACTCACCCTGAGGGGGAGCTGGTTCCTCTGCAGACCCCCCTTCTCACCCATCCCTTCCCCCTTATGCACCGCCAGCCGGGAGCAGCGGACAGCTGAGACGAAGCCACCGAGCCGTGAGAAGCGTCTTGGAAATCAGACTGAAGCCACAGGGATCAGCGGCGTCTGTGGGGGGCCACGCCCCGCCTGCCACAGCCCATCAGCTTAGCTGTTTGCTCTGGGGGCGGGGGAGGAAGGTGGCAGGGGTCCCCTGTAGAACACCTTGTTTAAGATCCCCGTCTGACTCGGCCACTTCACAGTGGGGGTCGCCCTGCACGGGGACCCCACCCCCTGCCCCGAGCCAGGGAGCCTTCTCTGCAGGTTCTCAGCCATGAGGAGCGCGTGTTCGGACAGCTCCCAGGGAGCCACGGACGCAGGCCGGGACGCCAGTTAACGCCCAGGCACGAGGATACTCGGAATGGGACATACAAGGAAGCTGCTGGATTCATGTTCCCCTGGAGGCGCCTTCGAGTGCCGCGGCCCCTGTGGCTGTGGCCTGCTCACCGTAGCCCGCACTCTGTTGAGAGAGCAGAGCCGGAATCATTTAGAACAACCCGGGCTCTTATGGAAAGTCGGCCTTTGTCAAGAGCGAAAGGGATTTTGAAATTAGAAGGCAAACAAATGAAAAACAATCTCTTTTTTAAAAAAAAATAGATTTATTTATTTGAAAGGGAGAGAGAGAGAGAGAGAGAGAGAGAGAAAGAGAAAGAATCTTCCATAGGTTCACTCCCCAGATGCTAGAACAGCAGGAGCTGGGCTGGTCTGAAGCCGGAGCCAGAGCCTCTCCCAGGTCTCCCACGCGGGTGCAGCGGCCCAAGTACCTGGCCATCCTGCATTGATTTCCCAGGCCACAGCAGAGAGCTGGATCAGAAGTGGAGCAGCCGGGACTCGAACCGGCGCCCATATGGGATGCTGGCTCTGCAGGCAGTGGCTTCACCCACTACGCCACAGCGTCAGCCCCAGTCCAACACAAGCTACACTTGGGACCTGGATTCAGCCAAGGTTTGGCATGGGGCACACAGTTTTACCTAACAGGAGGCCAGGGAACCCAGCGGGTGACAGATGCCCGGTCCCCGCAGAGGAGGCAGAGCCATTCTGGGAAAACACAAAGGGGATGTGTGTGCACGTGACACTCTGATGTGGTCCCTGCCAGGACAAGAGCCCAGAGGACCGCACAGAGAACGCCCAGCCACACTGGCAGATTCCGGCCCGGTGCGACCCCCCCCGCCACTTCCTCAGACCCGGACTGTAGGGTTGCGAGCCCGCACCTGCAAGACTGCCTTCAGCATCATCAGAGCGACATGGCCCCTGAGCGCAGGTTGGGCGTGTGAGGTCTCTGTGGGGGCAGCGAGGCCAGGGGAGCTGCCCACAGGCTGCTGGACCGCCAGAGCTGGCAGTCAGCTCCAAGGCACCGCTGCGTGTAGCAGCCCCAAAACCAGAGACAAAGGCGACCCCGGCGCACCACACCGACCAGGGCCAGGCAAGGCTTGTCACTCGGCGGACACCAGCCCAGGATGAGCCAGACAGGACCCGCGCACACAGAGACCAGGGCAGACCCAGACTTCAACTTGTGGCTGCAAAGCGTCTCACAGCCAGGCAAGGCAGGGGAGGGCAGGAGAGAGGGAGTCCTTCCAAGGCAGCCTCTCCACACTGCAAGGAACAGGGGAGGTGCCAGAGAGCCCGACCTGCACATGCTGTGCTCCCTGCCTGCACCCTGCCCACACCTCACCCCTACCCTCCCACACACCCAACGCCCCCCTCCCTGCCCCTCCCCTGCACCCTGCCCCCAATTCCTGTCCCTCCCGCACCCCGCCACCCACCCCGCACCCTACCTCCCCGCCGCGCCCTGCCCTCCCCCACACCCTGCTCCCCATGCCCTGCCCCCTACTCCCTGCTGGCACCTGCGAGGCGGCTCTGTGACAAGGAGAACATCGCTGGGAATGGAAATAAGTGACATTTTTTGCACACCAGGCAGTGCTGGAATCTGACGTTAAATCCTGACATGTTATTAATTCTAGTGCATGATGGGGGAGGTGACTGGCTAGGGACCAAAGCGTCAGGAAATGAATATAGTACGCGAGGAGACCAGCCACAAAACAGGGAGGAGCTGGCGAGGAGACAAAGCAGTGGCAACAACGTAAACGCGACGCTGCAGAACACCCCTCGCGGTCACAGAATTCTGTGCCACGGTGACGACAATAGACACTGAGTGCTGCTATGACACCTGGAATCTGATAATTCTCCTAAAACAGAGAAATTCCAGGTGGCTGTAACTGATCGAGTGGGGCTGGCACTGTGCAGAACAGGTAAAGCCACCGCCTGTGATGCCGGCATCCCATAGGGGCACCAGTTCAAGTCCCGGCTGCTCCACTTCCTATCCAGCTCCTTGCTAATGCGCCTGGGAAAGCAGCAAAAGGCGGCCCAAGTGCTTGGGCCCCTGCACCCACATGGGAGACCTGGGTGAAGCTCCTGGCCCTGGCTTCTGCCTGGCCCAGCCCCGTCTGTTGCAGTGAGTTGCGGAGCGAAGCAGTGGCTGGAAGAGCCCTCTCCTGCCCCATCTCCCCCTCTCTCTGTAACTCTTCCAAGTACAAAATACCTAAACGAAGGAGAGGGAGGGAGGGAGGGAGAGGGAGAGGAGGGTAGGGGAGGGGAGGGCAGGGCAGGGCAGGGCTCCATTGGTGTGAGGGGAGCACCCCGGAGCCGAGTTGAAGGATCGGCGGGAAGAGCGCTAACCGGCTAAGCAGGCACCGAGAGAGAGCCGGTTCCTCTGGGGCGCATGTGGTGTGAGTGACAGCCGCGCCTGCACGCCCTCTCCAGCCTGTAGAGACACAGTATGCAGAGAGCGTCCGGGAGCAGCCCAGGCACACAGCTCAGGCTCCCCCAGGCCCCGTGGCCGCCCGGAGTGCACACAGGGGCGTCCTCCATGTCTCAGAGCCCAGGAGCCGTCCTCGTCCCTGGGAGTTCCAGAGAGCATCGCCCAGCTGCGCTCTCCCTGAAAAGCACTGACACAGTGGCCAACAGACGATACAGACGACCCCAGACCCCAGACCCCAGACCCCAGACCGAGGCTGCGCGAGGAACGGACTTCTGGAACAGGGGCCAGGCGGGCCGGGCGGGGCGGCTCTGCCAAGCTGGTGCCGGCACAGCTCCCAGGTGCCGGTCCTCCTCCCTACACCGGAATCATTCTCCTGAGCCGTGTCCTTCTTCTCGCTCTCACGTGGGAAATCCTGCACCTCTGATGGCTTTGTTGGAAAATGCACATTTCATGTGTAGAAAGAAACGAGCTACGAAGCCAGAGAAGGTGTGCAGAGATCTTGGTGTGTGTTACGGCGTGGAAAACCTCGACCTGGAAAGTCTGCAGTCCTCGGATCCTGGAAAAGGCAAAACCACAGAGACAGTAAAGCCGTGAGTGGCTGCCGGGGCGGCGTGGGAGCAGCAGGGACAGGGGTGGCTGCCGGGGCAGCGTGGGAGCAGCAGGGACAGGGGTGCCCGTGTTTGTCAGGGAGTGGGGACTCACCCCTTCCGAGTCAGGGACCCCAGTGACCTAATGACCTCCCACTAGGCCCCATCTCTTAAGGGCCCCCACGTCTTCGCCACATGGGGACCAAGCTGCCAGCACAAGAACCCTTGGGCGACAAACCACAGCCACATGTTAGCAGTGGGGGAAAAGCAGCTGAAAACCCATTTGACAGGAAACACTCAGCGAACCGGAACCACAACGTACTTCCTTCACCTGGAAATGAGCGTCTCCCCAGACCTGGAGTTACGGCCACACTCACTGGTGAGAAACGGGACGCTTTCCCCGAGGTTAGGACAAAGCAGGGACTGCGCCCTAGTCACTGTCCCCTCGCCGCCGCCCCCCTCCCCGCCCCCCCCCACCGTCCCCTCCCCACCGGCCCCTCGCCGCCCCCCCCCACTGTCCCCTCCCCACCGTCCCCTCGCCGCCCCCCCGGCCATGCATTTTCACCATCATACTGGAAATGTCCGCTGCTGCAATGAGACGAGGAAGGAAACAAAAGGAACGCACGCAGGAAAGAAAGAAAGAAAACTGCTCAGAGATAATGCAATTTTCTAAAGAAAATCCAAATCCTGGAACTAATTGTAAATCATAAAAACATGGTGGAGTCGGTGCCGCGGCTCACTAGGCTAATCCTCCGCCTGCGCCACAGGCACACCGGGTTCTAGTCCCGGTCGGGGCGCCGGATTCTGTCCCGGTTGCCCCTCTTCCAGGCCAGCGCTCTGCTGTGGCCAGGGAGTGCAGTGGAGGATGGCCCAAGTGCTTGGGCCCTGCACCCCATGGGAGACCAGGAGAAGCACCTGGCTCCTGCCATCGGATCAGCACAGCATGCCAGCCGTAGCAGCCATTTGGGGGGTGAACCAATGGGAGGAAGACCTTTCTCTCTGTCTCTCTCACTGTCTAACTCTGCCTGTCAAAAAAAAAAAAAAAACAAAAAACAAAAAAAAAACAAACAAAAAAAAACATGGTGGGACAAATAGTCCATCATTTCCCTGCATACCTGTAATGAACAAGGGCAACTGAAATTTAGAAAACACAAAATTAGTTATTTTACCAAAAACAGTGAAATGTTTAGGTACACATCTAAAGTATCTACAAGATCTGCATGAAGAAAACTGCAAACCTCTGATGGGGGAGTCAGGTGCACAGACTCCATGGTCATGAATACGAGTCTCACACTGATGAAGCCAGCTCTTCTCTGCTTGGTTCATAGGCTCAGCTTAGTCCCCTGCAAAACAAATCCTAGCAAGTTATTTTTTTATTTAATATTAACAAACTGATCGGAAGTGTAAGAGGCAGAGGCCGGCGCTGTGGTGTGGCAGAATGGGCAAAGCCGCTGCCTGTGATGCCAGCAGCCCACATGGGCACCGGTTTGTGTCCCAGCTGCTCCACTTCTAATCCAGCTCTCCACTATGGCCTGGGAAAGCAGCAGAAGATGGCTTCAGCCCTCAGCCCCCTGCACCCACGTGGGAGACCTGAAAGAACCTCCTGGCTCCCGGATTTAGCCTGGACCAGTCCCAGCCATTGCAGCCATCAGGGGAGTGAGCCAGCGGATGGAAGATCGATCTCTCTCTCTCTCTCTCTCTCTCTCTCTCCAGCCTCCGATGAATGGAGGAGACGGGCTCCGTGGATCAGCCACGGAAAGGGTGAAGTCTGATCATCTGTAGCAACACGCGTGGGCCGAGGGCATTGTGCTCAGTGAAACCAGCCAGACACAGAAAGACAAGCACAGTAGGCTCGCCCTCATCCGCAGAGGCCGACTGAACTCGGTCCGAGCACATGACGGAGAAGGGAGACTCCTGGGGCGGGGCGGGGGGACAGAGGGAAGTTGGACAACGCCGACCAGATCCTAGTCAGTGCAAAGGAACGAGCGTTCAGCGTCACACGGCTCAGCCTGGCGACCGTGGTCCACACTGCGTCACACGGCATAGCCTGGTAACCATGGCCCACACTGCATCACACGGCATAGCCTGGAGACTGTCCACACTGCGTCACACGGCATAGCCTGGAGACTGTCCACACTATCACACAGCACAGTCTGGTGACCGTGTCCACACTGCGTCACACGGCTCAGCCTGGTGACCGTGTCCACACCGTGTCACATGGCACAGTCTTGTGACCACGGCCCACACTGCGTCACACGGCATAGCCTGGGGACCGAGGTCCACACAGCGTCACACGGCACAGCCTGAAACCGTGGCCCACACTGTGTCACACGGCACAGCCTGGCGACCGTGTCCACACTGTGTCACACTGGTTTTATGAGAAACCAGAAGAAAGGAGCCCAGAGGTTCCGGTCACACAGTGACGTCAGAGCAGGAAACTGATTCTCTGGCTTGAGCAGTACACGCCATACACGTGTGTTCAAATCTCACAGGACCCCAAAAACATGTGCACTTGGCATTAACATAAAAATATTTTACGTCCACTTGAATCGTAGACCTAAAAGTCAACACCAAGCTAGGGAACTCCTAGAGGCTGGAACAAAATCCAGATGCCTGCGAGTGTGGGCTGACCTAACACAACACCAAAAAGGTGACCGTGAAAGCAAAAACCGACCGGCCGGACTCCGCCGAAATCTGTCCGTGAGAGACCCCGCAGGAGACCTGGAAGATAGGCTGCAGCCCAGGAAGTCTGTCTGATAAGGAACTGGTGTCGGGACCACACCAAGAGCTCATCAAGCTCCCACTGGAAATGAACAACGTTTAAAAATGGGCACACGTCAGCCCCTCCACCAAGTAAACACAGGAAAACATAATCCACACCCTATGTCATTAAGGAAATGCAAATTTTTCAAAAGATTTATTGATTTGAAAGTCAGGGTTACACAGAGAGAGAAGGTGAGGCAGAGAGAGAGAGAGAGAGAGAGAGAGAGAGAGAGGTCTTCCATCCGCTGGTTCACTCCCTAGTTGGCTGCAATGGCCAGAGCTGCGCTGACCCAAAGCCAGGAGCCAGGAGCTTCTCCTAGATCTCCCATGTGGGTTCAGGGGTGCAAAGACTTGGGCCCTCTTCTACTGCTTTCCCAGGCCATAGCAGAGAGCTGGATCAGAAGAGGAGCAGCCAGGACTAGAACCAGTGCTGCCCATATGGGATGCCGGCACTGCAGGCCACGGCTTACCCGATACGCCACAGCACCAGCCCGGAAGTGGGAATTGAACAACAGTAAGAGAGCAATGCCTGTCTGCTAGAGTGGCCAAAAGCCAAGAGGCTGACAGTAACAAGTGCCGGCAAGGGGGTGGAGCAAGAGAAACTGATTCATTGCGGGTGCTGATGCTGCCACCATCATCCACAGCCTGTGTCGCCCTCAGGAAAGCCGGGACAGGCCGCCTTACAAACAGCAGAGCGCAGGCTCCGCAGGGCTGCCCCGTGGCTGCTGCGCCTGGTGCAGATGTGATGGCCAGAGCACAGGGCAAAGGAAGCAGGCGACAGCTGCAGCCAGGAGGCCCCGGGGTGTGCTGGGCCTCCCCCGACAGGTGACCTCGGCAGCTGCCCTGGCCGCACCCCTTACACGTCCCTTGGCACCTGCCAGCGCCACCTCCCTGGGAGCACGTCACACGCAAACCGTGGCAGAGGGCTTGGGGAGCGCGTGAGCGCTTTAGTGCGGGAGGTGCCGAGATGGGGGCGGCGGCTCAGCTGCACTGGTGAGCTGACCAAGAGAGCTCTTTCCGTCCGTGCTGCCTTTCCCGGGTATTTTATAATGCATCTGTAGGCTCTGTGGGAAAGCCGAGGAAAACTTCTGTGATACGGTGCTTAGGGGCACGGGGCACGTGAGCGTGAAGACGCTGTCCCGACGGTGGCATTGTGACCGACGGGCAGGAGCGGAGACAGCGTGGCACCGGCTGATCTTCCAAGGAGCCTGGATGGGCGACACGTTTTCTGGAGAGGGTAGTAGCCGATGAGCCCGGTGCTTCCAGCCTGACGCAGAAGCCATGTGCCAAATTTTGCTGGGGGAAATTTCAGCGTTACCAAAGCCTAAGGAGGCGTTGGCTTCAAAAACACAAGTGAGAAACATCTCGACTCATTTATGTCACACCACTCCTGAGTTTACCCCCAACGCCCTCTTTTGAAGAAATCCTGACTCATACAAACAAGTCTCCGTGGTGAGCCAGCCGAGCAAGAGCAGAACACGCGTGGCGAACGCCTCCGCACTCGCGGCATTCACACACCTCAGCGCCGTCCCCGCAACGGCAGCGCAGGGGAAGGACCCTCGGCCCCACTTCACAGATGGGAGGACTGAGGCCCGCACGGTGCAGTGTCTTCTCCAGCATCACCCACCCGGCGCCTGACGGAGGAGGAGCAGACAGCTGCGCCTGTGCGACTCTGAAGTCCGAGTTCTTTCGGGCGTCTCTGCCCCGACGCCACAGTCGGAGGCTGTGCCGTGCGGACCCACGTGTTCCCACCTGCTTTGCAGGACACTTTCAACGCAAACATTCCCACCGGCAAGGGGCCTCCACTAATCTGAGTGATTTCAGAAAGGCTGTCGCGAAAATCCACCACAAGGGCAGACCTGACCAGCAGTGGTCTACAGAGAAAGCCACAGAAGGGCTAAGGAAGACACGTGGGCACCGAGGAAGTCACGTGCCACTGGCCACTCTGGCATCCCACATGGGCGCCGGTTCAAGTCCCGGCTGCTCCACTTCCAATCCAGTCCTTGCTAGTGCACCTGAGAAAGCAGCAGAAGACAGTCCAAGCCCTTGGGCCCCTGAACCCACGTGGGAGACCCAGATGAAGCTCCTGGCTTCAGCCTAGCCCAGCCCTGGATATTGAAGCCATCTGAGGAGCGAATCAGCAATGGAAAATCGATCTCTCTCTCTCTTTCTCTCTCCCTCCTTCAAATAAGCAAATCTTTTTTTTAAGATTTATTTTTTTGAAAGACAGAGTTACAGAGAGAGGTAGAGACAGAGGGAGAGGTCTTCTATCCGCTGGTTCACTCCCTAGTTGGCCGCTACAGCCGGAGCTTCACCAATATGAAGCCAGGAGCTTCTTCTTGGTCTCCAGGTGGGTGCAGGGGCCTGTGGGGAGCAACTGGGAGCAACTCGGACTAGACTAAGTTACTGGAATTAAGACTTATTCTATGCATCTGCCCTCCCACAATATGGCGCTGAGAAGGCAGTAACAGCTTCTACACAGCTGCCTCCAGTTCAACCAATAAACAGCAGGACCTGCTCCTGATTGGAGGAGAGCAGCGTACTCGGCGTGTGGGTAGCAGAGTTGGGATTGGTGGAAGAGGACTATAAAGGAGGAGAGAGACAACATGCACCAGGAACATCTATCTGAAGGAACACCTGTGCAGCCCCCGAGAGAGCCGGCCGGCGGTGTGCCGCTCCCCCGCGGAAGTGGGGAAAGTGGCAGGGGGAACCGCCCTTCCACGGAGGTGGAAGGGTTGGTAGCCAACCCGGGAAGAACCAGCAGCAAACCCGGGAAGGGCCGAGCAGATGAAAGAACAGCGCAGGGTCCTGTGTCGTTCCTCCACGAAGACGGGGAGCGACAGGGGCCCAAGGACTTGGGCCATCTTCTGTTTTCCCAGGCCACAGCAGAGAGCTGGATCAGAAAAGGAGCAGCCGGGACTAGAGCCAGTGCCCATATGGGATGCCGGCACTTCAGGCCAGGGCTTTAACCCGCTGTGCCACAGCGCCAGCCCCAAGAAATCTTTTTTTAAAAGAAGATAAAGTCATATAAGTAAGGGACTCACACCAGTGAGGAGCATGAGTACTAGGACCGCCCATGAGCAGTGAGGAACCTTCTAGAACCACGTGGGCGTGGTAGGGACTGGATTCATCTGGGCGTGAACGGCCGTGGCTCACCGAGAACGACAGACGGGCTGTCACGACCCCGATGGGCAGGAAGAAGCCGGGCCTAGATCCGCCTTCTACCCCCGGCCTCCGGCTCCCACAGTGAATTGCAGCTCTGGCTGCAAGTGCGTCTGAGCCTGCACTGTCCAGTCACACCCTGAAAGGGGAGTCCGAGGCAGGGCGGTCCCTCCCAGTGCGTCACACACAACGACACACGCAGAACAGGGGGCCCACCAGAAGTGAGCTTCAGGCCATGCACCCTGGGGTGCCCAGACTTGGGGGCTCACAGAACAGCCCACGGCAAGGTCTGGGCTGGGGACGGCTCCTCCCATCCCCTGGAGGGGACGCAGCAATCCCTCTCCCCTGAACCTGGATTTCTGACTTCAGATCACCACAGTGGAAGCTCAGGGACAGGAAGGGGATGAGGGTCCCAGGGCCAGGGACCCCTTCTGTGTCTGCAAGGCCGCGACTGGGGCATAGCCAGGGCCTGGCTAAGCTAAGCACGGCCCCGGGTCCCACACAGTCCAGGGCCTGTCTTTGCACCGCCCATGAGCAGCGAATGGCTAAGGACAGTGTTTCGTGGCATCAGGATGGTATGGAACTCAGTCCTCATTGGCCTTCAGCAAGGTTACCCGGGACTCAGCCACGCCCCCCCTTGTGTTTGCGTGGCTGCCGCCACGGGCAGTACAGCTGAGTGGTTGGAAGGAGACCGCAGGGGCCTCCCCGTCGGAAACATTCACCTGCAGGCCTGTGACCTTGGCCTAGAGATCAGCAGGCGGCCCTGAGAAAACCGGCATTGGATGCGGCTTACAGGAGCTGCACGGCTCTGCCGTGGACAGCGGCCTGTGTCGCGGCAGCACCCGAGCCCTTCACGTGGCCAGCGTCTCCGGCGTCCGGGGAGCAGCGGACATCGGGCTGGGGCTCGTCCTGCCTCTTGCCTGCCCCCCAGCCCCCTCACGATCTGCCCTCTGGTGGCTGTCGGCGGAGCGCCGAGCACTGCTGGCACCTGTCAGGCCCGGGAGTGGCTTCGGACAGCCCTGGCACCGGGAGGCCGTTCCCGCTCTATCTCGGCTCTGCAGCTGCTGCCCCCGATCCGTCAGGATGAGCTGCCCAGGACGCGTTCTTCCTTAATCTCTCCCTGTCACCCGTGTGCGCACGCGCCCAACACACGCACCACAATGGGGAGAACTTCATTCGGCTTCCGGCCAAGCCTCAGAAAATCCCTTTCAGAACAGCTGTTCTGTCCACTGCAAAGTGTGCTGTCCCTCCGTGCAGAGGGACAGGGCTGCGTGTCCACGAGGCCTTCTCAGCAGCTGTCCGTGTGTGCGTCTGCGTGTGAGGCCCATGAGGAGGGGGTGAGCGCACACCTGTGTGTGACTGTGTGTGTGCAAATGTCTGTGTGTCAAGTGTATGTGTGTGTGCGTGCCTGTATGTGTTATGTGTGTGTGCACACATGAGTGCCTGTGTGATTGTGTGTGTGAGTGTGCATGTCTAGCAGGTGTCGTGCCAATTGCTGGTCTTTGTCTATGTTCAGAGTGCCTATCGGTGTGTGGTGGACCCCCTGTGTGGCATCGCGTGTGTGTCAACTGTATGTGTGTGAACTATTTGTGCTTGGTCCCATTGAGCCCACGTCCTGTGGTTTTCTGCTGCTTGGGTGCCAAGTGTGTGTATTTTACGTGTATGTGTGTGGTTGTGTGTCAAGTGTGTGTGGCTGTGTGTGTCGAGTGTATGTGTGTGGTTGTGTGTCGAGTGTGTGTGTGTGTTGAGTGTATGTGTGTGGTTGTGTGTCGAGCGTGTGTGGCTGTGTGTGTCGAGTGTATGTGTGGTTGTGTGTCGAGTGTATGTGTGTGGTTGTGTGTGGCTGTGTGTCGAGTGTGTGTGACTGTGTGTGTCGAGTGTACGTGTGTGTGTGGTTGTGTGTGGCTGTGTGTCGAGTGTGTGTGACTGTGTGTGTCGAGTGTATGTGTGTGGTTGTGTGTGACTGTGTGTGTCGAGTGTATGTGTGTGGTTGTGTGTCGAGTGTATGTGGCTGTGTGTGTCGAGTGTATGTGTGTGGTTGTGTGTGACTGTGTGTCAAGTGTATGTGTGTGGTTGTGTGTGGTTGTGTGTCGAGTGTGTGTGACTGTGTCGAGTGTACGTGTGTAGTTGTGTGTCACGTGTGTGTGACTGTGTCGAGTGTATGTGTGTGACTGTGTGTGTCGAGTGTGTGTGACTGTGTCGAGTGTATGTGTGTGGTTGTGTGTCGAGTGTGTGTGATTGTGTGTGTCGGGTGTATGTGTGTGGCTGTGTCGAGTGTGTGTGACTGTGTGTGTCAAGTGTATGTGTGTGTGTGGTTGTGTGTGGTTGTGTGTAAAGTGTGTGACTGTGTGTGTCGAGTGTGTGTGTGGTTGTGACTATGTGTGTCAAGTGTGTGGTTGTGGTTGTGTGTGTGTGTGTGTGTGTGTGGCGAGTGTGTGGAGGGAGAAGCAGCAGGCAGGGCCGGGAGGGGGGTGTGAAGGGACCCCGGGGTTGTGTGTGAGGCTGCAGCCGCTCCCCATCCAGGGAGGTTTTCCCGTCACCACGTGTTCCAGATGTCACCTGCTCGTGTTAACGGGAATGGGGCTAAATCTCCATTCGAGCCCAAACACACACACACAGACGGCTTCGCCAGGATAAACCCGCCCCTCCCCCAGCAGACCCCCCCCCCAGCCAGGACGGGGACTGAGGGAGGCTGAGGGATCGCACGTCCTCTCCTGCGGCCGCGCTGAAGTCCGGGGATGCGCTACAGTGAGTACACCGCCCCCGGGATAAGGGGGAGAGAGTGCCGACCGCGGGGGCTGGAGCAGGAGGAAGGGCGGGCGGCTCCGACGGGAAGCAGGGAGGCGCCCCCCGAAGCTCCGGGCACTGCCCACTGGGGCAGCCGGGGTCCCAGCCCCGACCCCCGCTGGGCGGCTCTGGGCGGGGCTCTCGGCACACGGAATGCTGAAGGCTGACCCAAGTGTCACTCAGCCTCAGCACCACCGCTCCCGGGAGGCAGCCCCACCCACGGGCAGGGCCTGCAGCCTGGGGACCGAGTGCCTGAGACTGAGCGAGACGCCCCCTAGCGGCGAGCTCCACGCAGACAGAAATGACAGCGCGCCTCCAGCGTGCAGGGTGCAGAGGGACGGACGGACAGAAACAGCCCAGAGACCACCCAACTCCACCCCGGCGTCCTGCGGGAAGCGCAGGCGCGCACTGCTTTCACACTCGGGAATACGAAGACCCGAAAATTGGAAAATACCACACCAACGTTTTTTAACTATCATTAGAAATGCAGCAAGAGGAAGTCAATGGAAGACCCCTGGTTCCCCCAGAAATACGACGAAGAGGTAAAAGGACGTGAGACACAGACGGAGAAAGATAAAGGAGGCTCCACTCTGGAATGATAACTCCGGAGAGAGAACAGACCCACACCCCAGGGGAGGGGGAGGGGCAGGAGGAGGGAGGGGCAGGGGCAGGCAGACAGGAGGGGGGGGAAGGAGGGGGAGGAGGGGCGGGGGCAGGCAGACAGGAGGGGGGGAAGGAGAGGGAGGAGGGGCGGGGGCAGGCAGACAGGAAGGGGGGAAGGAGAGGGAGGAGGGGCGGGGGCAGGCAGACAGGAGGAGGAGAAGGGGAGGGGGAGAAGGGGAGGACACGTACAGGGCAAATCACAGCCCACCTGGCCTCCCACCCCCCGCCAGCCCCTGCCCTGACGGAGGGTGAAGCCGATTGCAGACAGTTGGCTTCCCCAGACCCTCGCTTTGGGACATTGTTGGGGGATGCACTCCACCAAGACGAGCGCATAATCAAAGAAACTAAGACAGAATCTAGGAAGTGGGGGCCCAACCTAGTGACAAGGCAAAGTCAGTGCCCCAGCCAGGGGCCGGCACTGTGGCTGAAGCCAGGGTCCCCAGCACTGGCATCCCATAGGGCGCCAGTTCAAGTCCCAGCTGCTCCACTTCCAATCCAGCTCTCTGCTAATGCACCTGGGAAAGCAGCAGACGATGACCCAAGTCCCTAGGCCCCTGCACCCACGTGGGAGACTTGGAGGAAGCTCCCAGCTCCTGGCTCCAGCCTGTCACAGCTCTGGCCATTGTAGCCATTTGGGGAGTGAACCAACCCATGGCAGATTCTCCCTCTCTCTCTCCCCCCACCTTCTGTCCCTCTATAACTCTGCCTTTCAAATAAATAATTCTTTAAAAAGTTCTTCAATGCCCA